GAAGAAGAACAACTTTCTCTTACTAGTTTCAAGCCTGCTACCCATTCCTTTGCTTTGGTGTCCTCTAGTCCTTCTTTATGGGAACTAATGAAGAACTTTTCTGTATGCACCCTCTCCACCCAACTCCTGCTTTTAGAGACCTCTATCCTATCCCCCCTCAGTCTCCTCTTTTCTAAACTGAAAAGTCCCAGTCTCTTTAGCCTCTCTTCATATGGGACCTGTTCCCAACCCCTGATCATTTTAGTTGCCCTCCCCTCTCCCAGCCTCTCTCTTCCCTTCTCCCACCTCCTTTTCCCAGTCTCCCCCAGTTTTGTTCAATAAAGACAGATTCTATTTTGGAAGACACGTTTTCTTTATTTTGTACATCAGGAAGGGGGGCTAGGGAAGGGTAAGTGGAAGGAGGTGAGGGAGGGATGGGGTACGAGCCCCCGATGGGGAGGACTGGGCTGGCTCTGCGGGCTTCTGGGGGTGGAATCTCTCCTGCAGCCCCCCAATTGCCCCCTTCCCCCTTACGGCAGCCTGCGGCAAGTGCAGCCGGGCTGATGGCCGAGTGGTGTGATGTGCCGAGTGTGGGCACTCAGGGCACTCCAAGCCAGGACTGCTTTGCAAGCGGGGCACCCCTGAGAACTGTCTGTCTGGGGTGGGGGTCGGGTCTCTTTAAGCACAGCCCTCAGCTAGCCTGAGACAGCAGCTCCACGCTCCAAGTCCTCATCTGATGCCCTGCCGGCACTGCTTTTGGCCATCCTTAACCTCGGTTCAGGGTCCACTCAATGTGGACATGCTAGTTCGAATTAGCAAAATGCTAATTCGAACTAGTTTTTAGTTCTAGACGCGTTAGTTCGAATTAGCTTAGTTCGAATTAACTAATTCGAATTAAGTTCGTTCAAATTAGTGCTGTAGTGTAGACATACCCTTGGTCTCAGAAAAGATCATCCATAGCAGTATGCTCACAGTTGTATATTTTGCAGGATATCATCACCTGATAAGTCAGTTGAAATTTGGTTTTCATGCCATTTGAAAATCCCTTATTCACTGCTGCATCATCTACATTTAGACAAAACAGCTTTGAGCTTTTCCTGTCCCAATCCCCATGTAATTTCTCAAGCTGTTTTTCCTTCCTGGTTTGAAACTATCATCTGTCTTTGATACCAACTGTTTTGTATCAGTAAGCAAAACACAGGTTTTTCCATAATGGACAGGTGTAATGTGCAGCAACTCTTGAGTGGCTAGAAATGTGTCCAGGAATCCAGCAGTAAGCACAGTAATAACCTTAGCTTTCTGGAGGATTTCTGTCTATATAAAGTTTTTCATTGCATGGATGGTTAAGATTAAGGTCATTTTTTACCCGCAAGCTGCAAGTATCTCTAAAACTGTCACTTTAATGATTGTGTAAGTGGTGTTAAACAAGGTCTCACAATTCTGGATCTCCTCATGCTGAATTTCAGCACAGTCTAGCAATAGGAGAGTCTTATGGGCAAAATGAGCTGTAGAACAACCACATACATGAATAAGCTACATTTAAAAAATCTTGCCTTCTTATGAGAAGACTGTACTAATTAAAAAATTTCTCATTCTATCTGCAAATTGCATGGCTCTTTTTCTCTTTCTACCATAATGCTACTGATTATTTAGTTTTCTGCAAAATTAGGAAAGTGAGTTTAGTCCATAACACTTACAGTTATTGGCATGCTGTTCTGTCTGCTTTATATTTTCTTGTCCCAAAGATTTTTTTTATTATCCTCTGCTGCTTCAGCCTGATCTTTACAACAAAAAAACAACTCAAAACAAAATCAACCTTCCCGGATCATTTTACCGTTACTGAAATTTTTCATCTTTTTTTAAGAGCTGCCATGTGTATTGGTTTGTACATGTGTATACATAATGCTTTTCAAATATATAATGATTTGCAAATTAAACTGCTCGGCTCCAGCAGAGAGAGAGAAAATAAGCATCCCAGGAAAGTTAGTCTGTGTGAGAACGAGAAGTCCTGTGGCACCTTACAGACTAAAAGATATATTGGAGCATAAGCTTTCGTGGGCAAAGACCCACTTTGTCAGATGCAGTCTTTGCCCACGAAAGCTTATGCTCCAATATATCTGTTAGGGTATGTCTATACTTGCGGCCTATTTCGGAATAGGGCTGCAAATGTAGGCATTCAGAATTGCAAATCAGGCCCGGGATTTAAATATCCCATGGTTGATTTGCATCTTCCCGGCTGGGCGCCATTTTTTGAAATTTACAAGCCCGGAATAACTGCCCATGTCTACACACTGCAGTGAAACGGGTGTTCGAAATAAAGCCCTAATTTGAACTACCTGTTAAACCTCATTACAGGAGGAATAACAGGTAATTTGAAATAGGGCTTTATTTCGAACGCCCATTTCACTGCCGCATGTAGACGCGGGCAGTTATTCCGGGCTTGTAAATTTCAAAAAATGGTGCCCGGCCGGGAAGATGCAAATCAAGCATGGGATATTTAAATCCCGGGCCTGATTTGCAATTCCAAATGCCTACATTTGCAGCCCTATTCTGAAATAGGCCGCAAGTATAGACATACCCTTAGTCTATAAGGTACCACAAGACTTCTTCTTGTTCTTGCAGATTCAGACTAACACAGCTACCCTCTGATACTTAGGGTACGTCTAGACTACAGGGTTTTGTCGACGGAAGTTTTGTCGACAGTATCTGTCGACAAAACTTCTGTCGACATAGAGCGTCTAGACACATTCAGTTCTGTCGACAAAGCAAGCGGCTTTGTTGACAAAACCCTGTAGTCTAGACGCAACCCTACAGGCAATAACACCTTCTGTCAACAGAACTCTGTCGACAGAAGGTGTTATGCCTCGTAAAATGAGGTTTACCAGCGTCGACAAAACTGCTGAGTTCTGTCGACGTTATGTCAACAGAACTCAGCGGTAGTGTAGACGCAGGTATAGTTTTGTCGACAAAAGTACACTTTTGTCGACAAAACTCAATAGTCTAGATACACCCTTAGTCTGTGTTCTGTATCTGGACTGGATCCAGAGCTGACTGAAGTCAGTGGCTATCTTTTCCTTGATTTCAGTGGGCTTTGGACCAGGCCTGCTGTTCTAACATCACACACTCAAGCCTATTTGGGTTATGTGGCTGTTCCTGGATCTCTTTTGCAAGCATATTTTCTAGTGCCATGGCTAAAAAAAGTTAAGGACTGAGTCTGTCATTTTAAAGAGCAGGAGACTGAGCAAAGTCCTATATAACTGAGGGGTGTCTCTGCCCTCCTTTGAACAGTTGAAACAAACCTGCCAAGTTAATACAGTTGGATAAAACAGATAAACCTCTCTACATCCCCCCCCCAAAAAAAAACCTTGTTGGGGCCGAAATCCAAGCTGCTGGTGGTGGGACAAAGCTCAACAATTTAACTTCATAGTTTTCAGCTTGAGCCTAATCTAAAAAACTTGTACCAGATGGAGAGCTTGTGGCATCAAAAGGTCAGTTAAGATCTTTTGACTGTTTAGTGGCTCTCATGTGTCCTAATCCAAAAGCATAGAAATGACTCAGCTGAGGATATAAACCAATGGCAGGAAAAAAATATTGTGAATAGTGAATCCCCTACTGCCCCAGGAAGCAAAAGTGATTGAGAGTGGGGGAGAGGAGACTTGCTGGTACAGTAGGTACCTGTGGGGGAGGGATGGGGCACATTCACAGCTTTAAGGGAAAGGCATGAGTTAGTGGTGGAGTCATTGTAGACCCTAGGATGGGATCACTGGAGATGTAAGCGCTGGAGGTTTGTGGGGACAGATCCTTTGCTGGGGTAAGGTGGTACTGGTTGAATTTCTCTAGTCTGGCACTCTGGTCCAGCAACATCCATGGTCTGGATGTCCTCTTATCATGGGTGTGGCCAAGTTGTCTACAGCCCCATAAAGTTTGTTTATAGCCACCAGTCCTGGCTCTCAGTGTTCTTTGCTATTATTTAGCTCTAATTTACCCCTAAATGTCTTCTAAGAGCCCACTAAGCAGTGGAAGTGTTAGTAATGCTGCTAGACAATATTGACCTCCCATGGTTCAGCAAATTCTCTGTCTCGGCACTAGTCAGGTCCCAAGGGTGCCAGACTAGAGAGATTCAACCTGTATATGAAAACAAATGAACAAGCATCCATTTACAGCAACTAAAGATCTGTCTCCCAATGTGCTGAATCTGTGTATTGAAAGCTTTATACTTGTAGGTGTATGTTGTAAGTAATGTCCGTTGGTAATACA